GCATTTCATTGCTTCATTCATTCAGTAGATACTGATTCACTTATTCGACAGATGTTTATTGAGTAATTACTCCGTGCCAGGCATGGCCCTGGACACTGGAGATGAATCAATAAACAAAGCTGACAAAAAACCCTGCCCTCATGGATCTGGGAGTTGGGGTTGGAGTCGGGGCGAGGGAGGACACAGTAAACACACGGAGATGTGAAGTATACAGTAAGTTAGATGGTGATTAGAGCTTAGGAGAAAATTCCAGGAAGGGGAATAGAAAGGTCAGGGATGGCCTCACTTCAGTGAGCAAAGACCTGAAGGAGGTGAGGGAGAAGCCAGGTGAGTATCTGAGGGAACAGGGTTCCATGCAGAGGGCATGGCCAGTGCAAAGGGCTTGGGGCCAGGAATGTGTCATATGTATTTAAGTAATAGTAAGGAGGCCAGTGTGTCTGCAGCAGAATAAAGACATGAGTCCTAGGAGATGAGGTTAGACAGGTCACAGTTCTAAGCAGAGGAAAATGATTTGTTTAAAAGAAGTTACAGGATTTGTTAACGAATCCACAAGGGGGTCCTCTCTGTTGTTCGCCACACAGAAAGCCGATTACACTCGACCTTGCTGAGGATGTGTGCTTTAGAATTGGGACCCTTGAAGGAAACTTGAATGGTAGATTTCAGGCTATACAGTATAAATATAGTCATTGGTTGGCGATAGGGGTCGGTGAGCAGAGTGGTCCACACAGATGAGCTCACAGCGCTTGGCTTGGATTCTGAGCCCTATAGCATCAGCCTCGCCCCACTCCTCTCCTCACAGGGCTCTGTAGTATTTGATTGCTTCGAGGCTGCCCTGGGGGGTGAGATGCGAATCTGGTCCTACACTCAGCCCAGGTATCAGAAGGAACTCAACCTCACACAGCAGCTGCCTGGTAAGTGGCCACAGAGCTCCAGGGGCCCCAAGTCCTGGCCTCCCTAGTCTCTGTCCCTTCTAGCCACTCCCCTCCTGCTTTCACCCTCTTCTTGGTCCCATCCACTCTCAGGCAGAGGTCTGAGCTCATATCCTTCCCAGAGTTAGTCCCTTGGGACTTCTCTTCCTGGGTAACACGGCTTTCCAGCCCCTGGGGAAGGTGTTTTGAGTATTGGATAGATGTGGGTGGTATTTGGGGGACAGGGAACCCTTCTCAGTGCCCCTTGTGGGTCAGATTGCACCCCTTCTTTCCTTGGCCACCAGCCCTACTGGAGGCTTTTCTGTGATCTCTCCCCAGACTGCAGGGGGCTCGAAGTCCGGAACAGCATCCAGAGCTGCTGGGGTAGGGGCTAGGGCCGGTGGGCTGGGAGGAGGGAGGGGCAGGGTCTGAAGTGTGAGGGACCCTTGGAGTCTGCTTCCGATCTGGACTGCCACATCCCAGAAGCTTGCAGAGCATATTCATTCATTCATAACTCATGGACTGCAGTGGTTGCTCCTCTGCGCTAGGCACTGGGGAATGTAAAGATGAGTCTCTCATTCCTTATAACAAATATTTATTAGTACCAGGGACATCTAGAGGCCCAAAGCATTGTCAAGATTATGGTGCCCTCCTCCATATGTCAAAATTAAAATTATACTAAACCTGAAATAAGAGCTAAGAAAGTCAAGGTTCTGATTTTTTCCCATGCACTATTTGGATTTGTTTTATTTTATTTTTATTTTGAGACAGGGTCTCTTGGTTGCCTGGGCTAGAGTGCAGTGACATCATCGTAGCTCGCTGCAACCTCAAAGTCCTGGGCTCAAGCGATCCTCCTGCCTCAGCCTCCTGAGTAGCTGGGATGACAGGGCACCCACCACCACACCAGGCAAT